CACATTCTATTAGATCAACATATCATATAGAGCATCTCTTCAGAAGTTAAGAAAACGATCTACGAACGGCGTGTCAGAGCTTAGCACATGTAATTTCCCTATCAGTCTACTTTTCAACTACTTTGTACCATCCACGTAGCGTTTTTTTTTTATTGAATCTCCCCTTATAGATCTGTTTAAAGAAAGAGAAAATATGCGTTGGCGTACTCGCAGCAAAGAGGAAAAACAACACGAGCAAGAGAAGATAAAAAAGAAAAGAAAGGAAGAGAAAGAAAAAACGAGAAATAGGACCTAACCAGCATACCGCGTGATATTCCCGACCCGTTTCGGTCTCATGAGAGCGAAATTCTATACATAGTCACCGCGCGAAAATAGACAGTAGGTGCGGCCCCCGATGAAATAATGTGGAGAGCAAGCAGAAGTAGTTACGGGAGAAGAATGAAATAGCGATAATAGGAGTAGTCGGAAGAGTAGTCGGTTGTAATGCCAAAGTGACAGTGCGATAATGGGAGGCATTGGTCAAACAAAAACGGCAAAAGAGAGAAGAAGCGAGGTATTCATAAGAGAACAGATGACGGCTCCGCGAGTCTATCTCATATACTCGCCTGTCATGTCACATACTTGAAATCGCAAACTTTCCCATGCATTCCCGGTTTTTAACGTTAACGAATTTTATTTTTAACCAGTCCGCTTTTGCCGCTTTGTCGCAGAGAAATTGTAAATCCACCACGTGGAGAACAGGCCGTGGCGCCGAGGCTCGCGTTTTCGTGTTAGCCGGCAGGCGAGCATTAAAGTTCAGGGTTATCGCGCGCTAAAGATCATAAGAAGCCCGCGTTCGCTTCCTCCTTGCGAGTCAACGAACTCCCGCCTCGTCATCGATTTAAGCCCTTATCAAAACCTGTCGTGCTCCTAACGACCGTTACGGCAAATTGACTTGATAAACGGCCGCGCACGCGAAATTACTAGACGGGGGGGTGTTTCCCGGAGCAGCGTGTATCCGCCCTCGCGGCGAACTGAACAATTCCCTGGATGCCACGCTAATAACTCGTTTGATATTCCATAGGATAATGACTGGTATCGTTGTTACGATAAGAATATTTATCATGTAAGAATCGTTCTCTCTCTTCCTTCCCCAGATGAGATCGCTTTTCGCGGAATTTTTGTTATGCGGAGCATCTAAAAACAGCTTGTGCTCTCTTTTCCCACGAATAACAGAGTCCACGATCGAATAAAATGAACGTTTCAAAGCGACCAATCGTGTGTAACTGGAAAAACGACAATTCTGACAAGTTTTGAACTGCAAGAGTTTAAGATAAATAACAGAGTACGTTTCATTTCAGCAATCTCTTTTAGAAACAACTTCTATAATTTCTTCAAGATTGTCATTGTTTGTGGCATACTTAGAATGAATCATAGTTTCTTTTCGTCAACAACAATGTAATTTAATTTATTTATTAACTGTATGGACAGCAAAATTTTTATTAATTTTATTAATAACTTTGATGCTCCAGACAATCCCAATCGCTATGTAATTGTGTTATAAATTGCGTGTTTATTTTCAAATTAATGTAATTATAAAATTGATATTATTGATATATTATTAATAATTGAAAATTGAAAAATATGATGAAAATTGAAAATTATGATAAAAGATAACAATATATTCAACTTTTCCTGTTCATTTAATCGATAAAATATATACAAATCTATAATACATAATTTTAATCAATTTACAATATAAATATATACATTCTGTTAAATTTTAATTTATACTTCACATTTTATATGTATGTTATCAAAGCTTGTAACAATTTCACGCTAGTTACGAGTAACATTGCGTGTTCCAAAAAGAACTAAAGTAGGACGAACGATTAGTGGCTTTCATACTTCGTCAATACCACTGTATAACTTATCATACTGGTACAAATGGTAAAATACAAACGTTTCTGTTGTACATATAATATCATTCATCGCTACAGAAACTCTTATGGCACAGTTAATAAATTAGATTACGAGAAAAAGAGAGTTTTGTCACGCATCCGAAATCGCTATGAATCAGCCAACACTTACGAGAGGAATTGATAAACTCGTATATAAGTTACTTTATAAAAATAATGAAATATTTTAATATCTAATATAGAAAATAATTTCCCACAGTCTCTTTTGATAATAGAAATTTAGTATACAAACAAAAACAAATTTAGTATACAAATTGTTCATTATAAAATTTAATTTTAAACTTGCAACAACTTTTATTCAATTTTCGCTGAAGCAAAATAAGCGTAATATTAGCTATTTAAACTGACAATAAATTTATACTTTTCATTTAATGCTATAATCACTGAGATTCAAATTTACTTCGTTTCAAGTAGAATTTTAGATAAAATTATCAAGATATTGAAGGAAAAAATTGAAAGATCGCGATCTACGATGGTCTTGTGTAAGATTTCCGTTAAGCAGAAATCGATTAAGCGAAATTCCAAATTTATTAAAGGCTTTGTGACTCGATACGATATCTCGGATACTCTGTGCAGGAAAACCAAGTTTATGGATCTACGATCTCAAACTTGATGAGCTCGTATAAACAGACACTGTATCGATCTCTCGGACACCGGATTTACGAGAAACTTTTATTATGTTTGCGCTGAGAGAGAGAGAGAGAGAGAGAGAGAGAGAGAGAGAGAGAGAGAGAGAATTAGTACCGTCGGACGTAGGTACGGTAAGGACGTTACCGGTAGGTAAGTAAGGTAGACGTACGGACGACGAAGACGACGACGACGAAGTAGTAAAGTAGAGTAGTAGTAGAGAGAAGAGAGGGACGAGATCGAGAGAGAGAGAGAGAGAAGCATCTCGCGTGTTCTCCCACGTTACCGATAAGTGAAGCAAAGGACGTAGAAAAATTCAAGGCGGTCGTGGACGCGAAGTCGATGCGCCGCCAACCAGGTGGACGCACGTAAAATGCCGCAACTTGTCGAGGAGCCCCGCGCAGGACGATGCGAGTATATGGTACACGTACACGTAGCATAAATAAATAAAAAGACATAGCTTATGTGCTCCACCGGCCGATCGATTTCGCCGGTTGGCTCCATTCCAGATACTCCCTCGTTAGATTTTTGAACAATTTCACTGCG